ATTACAGTGATGCTTCGCTCTGAAGTTTTTTATTGCATCCTCTCCCAGATTGGCCGGACCAAACACCATATCATATGACCTTAGAAAGGAAACAAAAACATGGTTAGCATGTGTTTTCTGATGAATATTTTACAGTACTTTTCTTTAAATCCTTCTTTAACCTTACCTCTTTTCTCCAGCTTTTATCACAGATGGATCTGTCAAATTTTCACCAACACCTTCAGACAGCACATGAAGAAAAAGTTAAATCTGATACATTACATAAATGCATTAATACTGAAAAGCCTTGGCAGCCTTAGCTAAGAGTTCTCAGCTTCTCCAAGAATAAAAGGAGGAAAATAAAAAAACTCACCAACACCCTAACCTAAACAATAAGTGATACTCTACCCTTACAAAAATTGCTCCTCAGCAAGCACTTTGTACTTCGATTTCTTTCACCTACTTTTACATCTGCCTGCAGTTGCTAACTTTAGTTTTCACCTGCGAGAAAGAGTTTCCATACAGCTCTCACAGCCAGAATATCTGACACACAGTTCAGGATAAACACAGCTTACCATATTGGCACAACACAAGTGTGCCAAAAATTAGATTTTTTTTATAGTGCATGTTATTAGGAAAAGATGTGTGTATTTATATTCCCTGTGTTGCTGTGAGGTTGAATGCCATATCAGAGCAAGGAAGCTGGTGAAGTATCTGGAGCACGAGTCTTACAAGAAGTAGCTGAGGGAACTGGGGTTGTTAAGCCTGGAGAAAAAGAGTCTCAGGGGAGAACTTACCACTCTCTGCAACTACCTGAAAGGAGCTTGTAGCGAGGTGGGGGTCTGGCTCTTCTCCCAAGTAACAAGCCATAGGACAAATGGAAAGGGCCTCCATTTGTACCAGGGGAGTTTTAGGTTGAATATTAGTAAAAATTTCTTCACCAAAAAGGTTGTCAAGCATTGGAACAGACTGCCCAGGGAAGCAGTGGAGTCCCCATACCTTGAGGTATTTAAAAGACTTGCAGATGTTGTGCTTGGGGACAGAGTTTAGTGGTGGACTTAGCAGTGCTGGGTTAACAGCTGGACTCATTCTTAAAGCTCCTTTCCAGTCTAAACAATGCTATGATTCTATGATTAAATAAGACACCCATAGATTCAAATTAACTAGACCAAGATGCACTAAATAATGCTTATAATTTATTAAAGACATGTGAATTCTTAATAAAACTCTATCACAAGAGAAAACCCCACATGCATCTGTGTTGGGCCCAACCCCAATTTCAAGGCAAGGGCATTACCTTGCAGATCTAGCACCAGCAGTTCTCCTCTTGTATACTCGTATGTCCAGTGGCTGAAAGCTAGCATAACCTCCTCTAGCATGTTAGTTGGAATTATTTCATCACCATTATTGTTGTTGTATTTTCTAAACTCCCCAGTCATGCACTCTTCAACAGCAAACCACTGGCCAGCAGAATGGCAATATAACAGGAAAACTTCCAGGAACCTAGGAAAAAGCATAGTTAATGAATATATTTTCCAAATAAACAACAAACTTATCATTAGTACTAGATTTGCATTTAGCTTACTAATAATTTTAGTAATTTCAAACTATTATAACAAATTTATATTATCACATTAGGCCAGAAATGGTGCAAAAAAGTATCAACAGATAAGACTGCTAAGGGTAATTCTGCTTGACACGTTTGTAGTCATGTTCTGAGACTTACATCCACATATCAGTACCTTTATAAGGTTAACAGCCCTGTAGGCATTCTTTTGTGCCAAAAACATGGAACACAATGGAAGTTTAAATACACTCACCTTGGAGAGTATGGAATGGATTTGGGCTTCATTTGATTGAAAGCAAAGGTGAGCTTCTGTGCTGCCCTCTGCTGCTGAATTTCCTGCAATTCAAAGCCGTACTTCATTAGCTCTATGGGATGACAGGGAACATTGAGGAGCCAAAAAAGCAGCAGGAAAAGTAAGGCTTTATTTCCCCACACAGTGTAACAAATGACTTGCTTTTTAAATTATGTCTACATTTTAAGAATTTGAGCTTTTGATTAAGTAAACCATACAGGAACAGAGGGGTTTTAAGCCTTCAGCTCATACAGAACTCCCGACTGACCTTTTTAAATCAGTATGTACTAGTTTTGGGGGGGGTGGGAGGGGAGGGGGGACGGGAGTGCATGGAATTCCTGCTTAACATGACACCCAACTATGTTTAATAATTGATAAGGATAAAACTTACTCTCAAGCACAAGTGTAACACAGTGTCCTCCTTATAAATGCTTGACCAAGTATTCACAACTTCAGGAAGAAAAGACTTGATGATGTAAAGATGTCCCGATTTCAAGATATCATATTCTGACCACGTGCATACTACTTTGAGCGCCCGACGTAAACCTCCTCCCATCTCCTCTTTACTTAAAAATTCAATTTTAGCACAGAGTCCTAACTGTGACCAGGAAGACATGCTGTTGTTCAAGATGCTGGGAGAACTTTCTTCAAGGCGATACACAGTGACTGGTTCACCTGTGTTACAACATGTAAAATTAAAAGCACTGAAAACCTACAGTTTCTTAGATTTCAACACGCTGCTATATTAAGTTGTTACTAACATCCTGAAATAACAAAAAATATTTACACTGCCCAGTGGGAAGACCTCTCTCCATCTCCTTTCATTCAGCAGCAAAGCAGTACAGCAGCTTTGTCCTCGTGATTTGAACTATTAAGGACATTGCTCAAACAGTACACGGAATAAATGTTTGTTTACACTTTACACAAGTCAAGACAACTTAAGGGAAACCTTCCACAATAGTTTGCTATAGAAACTGTTAGCAAAATACTATCTTTACTGTATCACCATTTCTGAGGCCAACTACAATTAAATCTGGATTTCACAATCAAGTAAGCTGCCCCAGCAGAGGTGTCATATTCATTTACAGTACTTGAGTGTTGCAAGGCAGACACTTGACTTCTCTCAGTTCACTAAGACTTAAGTTTCACACTTGCTGTGACTAAGGGTGAAATTTGACTTGATCTTTCTATATTAGAAAGAATCTGTACAGGCTTTACTTTTGGGTTTTTTTCCCCCCAAAAGACCACAGCAAACCAGCACAAGGAGTACAGTTCTTACCTCTTGGAGGCACAGGAGTGAATGGAATGCTCTGTGATAATCTCATCAAGTTATTTCTTTCTACAGCTAGAGGAAAATTACAGCATTTGTTAAAGTCTAAGGATCTAATAAGTGTCATTAAAAATATGAACGTTAGCTTACAGGAGGGACTGACCTGAGTAATAGTAATTGATATCCATGATAGGCTTGAAAGGAGAAGCAATGCCTGAAAGATTAAAAAATCCACAAGAGATACTGCTTGCTACCTGTACTGCATATTAAGAAATAAAGAACACTTGCCAAGTAACTAGACTTCGAAAAAGATCTGCTGTGCAGAAAATTAAGTATTAAGTTTAGCTCTTTATTACCTCAGAACATAAAAAAAAATAAATAATTGTAGTGCTCAGTGGCAGGCTATTTAAAAAGAAAACAAAATTAAAAATCACACTATTATGTGTCCAGTTAAGTTCCAAATCACCAGTAATTAAATACTTTCTCATACAAGACCCAAACAGTGGCTTTTATGAAAAGCTCCAAGCTTGTTTTAGCAGAAACAAACTTACCATTCAATGCATCTTCCTCAGATGGCCTGTGAAATTGCAAAAAAACCCAACAGTCATTGCTTCTTAAAAACTTATTTAGCATTTACTCATTTTGACACATCATCCTAGGTCACCTTGTTAACCTCACAGTATTGTTTTTACCCTATTTTTCAAGGGCACCACAGGTTTCTTAATTACAAAACAGTAATGGGAGGCCGTTAAGTAATCTCACGGGTTTGGAGCTACACTTTAAATATCACCAAGTCACGCACAACATTATGCAAAGTTTGCATCACAAGAGCTCATTCCCACAGAGGTGCTTTAATTAAAACTCGTTCACAACAGCTCACTCTTCTGTTATCAGATTAAGAAGGTAATGGCTTTAACAGTTAACCCAGGGGATAATTGTTAACAAGAGCAATGTCTGTGCAATTTCAGAGAAGGTTTACAGTTTGCAAGGCTGGGTAAAGACCTTTACCCGGAAGCTAGATCCTTAACAAGTGTCAACATAGTCATTTTCATTTAAGGGCATGTCTTGCCCTCTGACATGTGACCCCATTAATCCAAATAGAACCTGTCAAAGCATTCCAGTGAACACATTCAGTTCTTTATTAGGAAAAAAAAAAAAAGTTAAATGCAACTGAATACCACTACAGTCAAAGACAACAACCAAAAAGAAAAATTAATGGAAATACAGAGTAATAAAATTGCTCTGTTAATAGAACACTTACTTACATTTGACCACTATTTGAAGGTCTACCTTGTAACCAATCCTTTAAAACAAAGTAGAGGAAAACAAAGAAGGTTTCAGTTTTGCAAGGAAAACATAGTATCTGTAATTGGAGGTGGGGTGGTAATGAGTTTTAAGATCTTGCAATACAGCCCATTTACTGGAAATACTTCACCAGGCTGAACTGAACTGTAGGTGAATAGAAAGACAAACACAACTGAGGAATGGTAACTACAGTTAAACAAACAGAAAAGGCTGTTTATTCACTGTATATTCACTACTGTTTTGTGGGGTTTGTAAGTAATCCTCTTCCTAAACAAGAAGTTGTGGGTTTTTCCATAAACAGGAAGCACCATATGCTTTTGTTGCCTCCTTGAAGAAATGAGTATACAAATCAGCATTATTCTGTACAGTCTGTTTCTCCTCCTTTAGTTGTTCAGCTTATAGTTCTGCTCAACAGTGCCAAAAAAGGGGGATACAAACCGTCAGTAAAGCTGCTTTAGAGTCCACTTGCTGAGTGTCTTCACTCGATGCTCTTCTGCTCTTGCTGTATACTACAAATGAAAAAGATTCATAACTGGACAAAGAATGGCACGTCATTGTGACTTAGACCCATTTCCTAATAGAGTGAGCGACTCGACAGCTTAACGTGACCCTCAGTGTCTGATCCACAGCTCTCTGACCTTTACACGTTTCCAGCACAGCCCCGACTAGATCACTCAGGTTTTAATGACTCTAGCTATCTATGGCAAATTCAAATGGCATGACTAGAAGAACCACAATGAGACACAGCAACAGATTCAAGTAGCACCAACTACGGAAACATTTCAAGATGCTTTAACTTTTTGCATTTCCTTTGTATCACCTTAGAATATGCATTATGAACAGGATTGAGCCATCAAATCACATCACCTGAAAAGACAACACACTTACATTGTTCTGAATGGACTCCCAGAGGGTCAGTAAACCCAGCACAAGAACTAGATTGTCTTAGACCACAGTCGGTTTGAAGACCCTACGAAACAAAACCAAAACCAATCACATATCATTAGTCATCATTGTTACTGTTTTCAGCTACTACTCTTTTGGCATACAGTCTGCTTATTTTTAGAACTAACCAAGATCCTTTTTTTTTTTTTAAACTTCTGGATGTACCTCAAATAACTTCTACATTTTTGTGCAGCAAGGCAAGTGCATAATTCAGTTATAATGCTCTTCACAGTAACTATCAGCAATAACTTTTTCAGGTGCACATTAAGACTCCTGATCCATATGGAAAGAGTCCTTTCAAAGAGAACATTACAATAGGACACAACTACAGAAAAGTACATTACACTGGATCTCCAGAAGCACCAAGTTCAACTATTCTGTCACGTGCCTTTATTAGCAACCAGTTCTCTCTTAAGAACATGGCTCTGACAGAAATTAAAGTCCAATTCGAAGCCACTGAAAATAGGAACAACGGTCATACCCCTCAATAATAATTACATACTTTCTGAATATCCACTGAGGTGGTCAGCTTTAACAACAAAATATTTCTTTTGCAAAACAGGAGAAACACAGTTCCATCACAAACTGGATCTACTCGTGGACTGGCATAGGGCTGGAATATCCCTCACAACCAACCTATTGCAAACCAACCTATTCCAACTGTTACCTGAATAAAATCTAAAAATTCAGAATTTTGAAGAATAAAAACTAGAACTTTGAATGCTATACCCTGCTTTCGATTCCAAGATCAGTAACAGGAAATTTCACCCTTCCCTCTTAAGGAGTACATTCTCACACATCTAAACAGATATATACACATCTGTGCATATGTATGTGTGTCCAAAATGTCTGTCTGTACACGCACGTGTGTGTATGTTTGTGTACACATATGTAACTGTATGCCTATGTATACAAGAAACACTACTTCCTTACATCCCTTAACATAAATACTTCACTGGAATACAACGCAGAGAATGCATCTGTTCAAAGTGTCTTCTGAAGACCCATTTCTAGGTCCCCATTCATTTCAGTGTTCATCATACAGCTTCAATGACTACAGTGCCTACATGAAAAGTAAGAATCAAACCCAAAAAGTCCCACCAGCCAAGAAGGAAATGACTCTTGTACTAAGTATTTAAGAACAGCAGCACTGTCTGGAAATGCTGCTGGAGTTTGCATCCCAATAATATCAAACACTGGAGCTATTTAGACTTACAGCTGGATGTCTCCTTTACTTATTTGTACAAAGGTTCAACTGTACAATTTCCACCACCCATACCACTTTTTTTAAAATCATGACCAGGGTCTATTCAAACATTACGATGTAAGAAAACAGAGTTCCCTGCCTTCACTGTAAAGAATACATTTGGTATGTGGTGAAAATAAAGTCTCTAATAAATGGAAATCTCCTTTACTTACTTGAAGTCTGTTTGTCTCTATGCCCTCCAAAATAGCTTTTTTGAAGCCTTCCTGTTGCTCCTATTAAAAAAAAGGCAAATTGTAAACATCATTACCAAAAAAAAAAATGCCAAAAATACACACACACACACAAATCACCCTTTTTAGTCACGTCATACTTCTCAGAAAGTCCAGAAGGAATAACTGAGCAGAACACTGCCAATAGTCATAATGCAACTCTCAAGTCATATTCTTCCCCAAAATGAGGGGTAACTGCAAACGGAAATTTGTATTTACTAACTTCTCTTAATAGCTACATTGTGAAAATAAGCTTTTTAATATATACTATAGCACTGGAGGACAGGTTTGTTAGGACTACGCACTTTCCATTTAGTTATTTTCATTATTCTTTAATAAAATGAAAATTATACATAATTTTTGTTTATTACAAGTTTATTAGAAAGGCCTTTTCTTCTTGGAAGAATAAGAAACAATTTTTGTCACTTTTAAAAATCATACACACTATCATCTTGCTCTATAAAATATCATGTAAATCACTGAAATCTTCCTCAATGCTGATCTTGAAATTTATGACTCTCTAATGTTTCACTAAACACTAATTATGAGATACATAATTTTATCTTCATTCACAGTTGTAGTCATCTCCACTTTCATAACTTCAGATCTTGTTTAATATTTCATTAGTACCATATTATGAAGCAACAGAACTTGATGTGCAATTAAGGTTGCAGGAGTTATCACTAGAGGTTATTTATTTATTTAAATGATAAACCAGATACACATTCCTTGCAGGCTGCATTTTGCAAGTTCTTTGATTATATTTGCTTTCAACTTTTTCAAAACATATTGTGAGGCTACAATAAAGAAATAAAAATTACCCCCATTAGCCCGCCCAACAGAAAATCTTCTCTGCTTACCTCAATATCAGCACTTCTCTCTTTAGTTTTGCTGG